ACGATACACAGCCGATTAACAGAGAGAGAGGGAGGCAGAGAGACATACCTGGGAGGCGGGTGGGTGGCGGTGTCGCTGAGGCGATGGTGGAGATGGCTTAAGAGAGAGAGAGGGAGAGGGAGAGAGAGAGAAGGTGTGAAGGGAGGCTATGAGCCATAGGTCTCTGACATTGGAGAAAATATTCATTAGAAGCCACGTGGTCGGGTGACGTGGTACCGCTGATTAATAATAATAAAACAAATAAATAGGTTAAACTTACAAAAATCAATAATTAATCCGTCAACTTTTTTGTTATGTAAATTCAAGTAGAATTCAACTTTTTCATTTAAAATTTTATTATTGATTCATGATATCATATTATCAATAGTGACATGGTATCACCGTTGTCATTGATAAAAAATTGGATGTCAAGGAATTGGATTAAGGGATAAAATGTTAATTTTTTGACCGAGTGAATATGAAATTATCCGATAAATTTATTGAAGTCGTCTTGTTTTATATTATAAATTTTGGACTTTTGACGATTAAATAGATGTGCCATAATTCAATAAAATNAGAGAGAGAGAGAGAGAGAGAAGGCGTGAAGGGGAGGCTATGAGGCAATGGCCTCTGACATTGAGCGTGAGTGAGAGAGAAAATTGGATGGAATGGAATCGGAAGAAAATATTAAGAGACAAAATGAATATTTTGACAGTTAAATAAATGAATTTGAGTTCATACGAGAGGCTTATTAAGGTCGTCTCTGTTGTATATTGTAGACAGTTAGAGTAGTTTTAGATTTTTAATAAATAACTGGCAATTGTATGTGATTAAGCACGCCGTAACAAACAAAAAATTGAAAATAAATATATGTGCATTAAGAGAGTATATGCCATAAAAAATTGTCAATTAAAAAAACTAAAAAAGAAACATTGATAAATCTAATATGGCCCATTATTTTTTAAAAAAAATTAATAGAATACAAATCAAAACAATCTCAAACATTATTCAATGACCGTTTAATTATTGATTGATATTCAAATAGTAATAAATTCAAAAATTATTGTGGTATGAAAACAATCAAATAAATATAAGAAAGAAAGTAAGGAATGAGGATTAAGAGATGAATTTCAACCAAAAAAAAATGTAATAAACAATATCAACAAAACCTCAATCAATTAAAATTAAATTTTAAACACTCTATCGGGTTAAATTACGCTTTTTGTCCCCATAGTAAATTATAGTTTAGAGAATGTTCGTGCCTCTAAATATAATATTTTTTTCTATTCTTCCAAACAATTACAACTAAATTCTTTCTAAAAATAAGACCCTACAAAAATATGAAGATGTGCAAACCTTATCAAGTAAAGATGTTTTTCATATATCATATTTAAACATATTTGTGGAGAGATAGCATGACATCAATGGAAACTAGTATTGATCAAATTTTCATGATTAAATCCAACTACGGTAACATTATCAAATTTAGAAACTAAATACATAAAATTTGAGTCCCATAAAGAATTCAAGCAAAATCCTCAAAAAACACAACTATATAGAACTATTACCACTAATACCACCATTACCGTTATTACCACTTAGCCTATATTTTGATAACTAATTACTTTTTGTGCTCAAATTGAAATTAAATCTAAAGTCAATTATTTAAATTAATTTTGCTTTTCAATTTAAACCAAATTTCATCAACTAAGTTAATTTTATGTTGTACAAATTTGTCCCAAGAGCTTTACCCCATCACCACCCATCCATCGCAACTTCGAGATTAACTATCAACTAAGACCACAATCACTATCACTTGTAAACCTAAAACATATTTTCAGCAACTAATGATACCGCTTCGAGAAGGCGAGCTTACTTTTAACTACAATCCAAGTCAAATAATGTATCACATTGGCAACAAATCAAATGAACTATAAGACATATCGACAACAAATCAAGTTGAATTTCAGTATACTGAATGAATAGTGTATCACTTGCAAAATTTATGAATGTGCACAAAGCATTAAATTGAAGTCAAGATTTGAAATTTTTTAGAGAGAAAATAATATTTAAAAGCATAGACATTACAACCTAAAGAACCTTGAATAACAATATGGAGAACTCATTAAACATCGTGCATACACCTCACAGTGGTTCCTGTCATTTTTGCTTTCTTTTGATGTAAACCATTCTCAAATGTGCCAAAAAAAAAAAGGCTTGGCTCTTGATCAAAAAGGCTCCTTAGTTCTTCTAAAATTCTTTGCAGTTTTTGGACAAAACAAACACCAGAAATATATGAACTCATCCTTGTTCACAAATGACCACTTAGCTTGAACCAATCTTAAGTCCTCATACCATAGAACGTACAGAAAAAGATTGTAAATAATATAAAAATATGTAAAACTAAAAAAAATAATAAACTCAAATCAATAAACCACTTTTTTAGGAGATCATCATGCCGTTGGAGTTATGTCATTGCTCATTGTTGGAGGTGCGCCATCGTGCTATAGATGGTTACTACAACAGACAAATTAAGTTCGCTAAAAAATAAGGATAATGGTGGCCCGCTCATTGAAGGAATAATATAAACATTTTGTGTTTCGGTGACTATGGTGGGTTTCAGTTGCAATGTGTGCGTGTGGGGGTGGGGAGGTGTTTGTTGGCTAGGGAGGTTTCGGTGGCAGTGGTAGGGACTGAGGAGGAAAAGGGGCGGAGGTGCTGGTTGGCTGCAAATAAGAGTTTGCCTTTAATATATAAGGTGTTTGGTGGGCTGTTATGAGTTTCGATGGCAGAGGGGAGAGGGAAGAGGAAAGAAAGGGGTGGTTGCAATAAGGGGAGACATACGCAGAGAGAGAAATGGGGGAGGGATACTCAGGTGAGGCTTCAAGATTGTCGATGGTTGATCACTGTGTCTCCGATTATGCCTCCATAGTGTTGTTGTAAAGAGAGAGGGTTTCGATGAGGAGAGAAAAAGAGAGAAAAGAAAGGGGCGTCAGTGGCTATAGGAGCGATTTAAGCCAATTTGAGACCTAAAACAAAAATATTAAATGAAGACCTTTTTATTTTTAATATTATTTTTAAAAAAAATTAATTTATTTTTAATTTTTTATGTGAGAAAGAGACAAAAGAAGGATGTGTTAATATTGTCGAAAAGGAGATTTCCACTTTTGTTTTTATTTTTTATCACAAAGAAAGAGAAAAAATGTTTAATTTTAACTTTTATTTTTGTTTTTTTTACTGGATGGAGAGAGAGAGAGAACGAAAAAGAGAATGGATGGGAGTAAATATGAGTTGACTTTTAATTTTTTTTTTATTTCTAAGTTTTTAATGTTATGGATTAGATTATAAGTCCAAATTATTGCAATAAAAAATTTGATTGGATTTAATTTTTTGGAACTTTTTTATAGAACTTAAAATTTAATGAATTTAATTTTTTTTGTGGGTTAGCGATGTATCTAAAATAATTGGGTGAAAAAATCGAAATGGATGCAGGTGATAAAGGAAAGCAGAGTAAATAATATAATATCATCATTATATTGAATATTCTAAAACTGTGATGTGAAAAAGTGATTTCTTTGATATATAAAAGATATTATTTAGAGCAGCATGAGCGGATGTCAAAATTTAAATATAGACGTTAATTTTAGATTTTGACAGAATTTTAAATTTAGATGGTATTGATTTTGGGCGAAATTGAGAGGCGAATTCCATGTAGGGGTGTCAATTTTAGAAACTAAAAATTTTGAGTAGCAAAAATATTTCAAAAGAGTTAATGTGGTATGTCGGATCAAAATGATCTGAGCCGATCTTTGTCTCCAAAATTCAAAATTGTTCTACTTTATTATATAGATTTATAATTTATANCTAATGTGGTATGTCGGATCAAAACGATCTGAGCCGCTCTTTGTCTCCAAAATTCAAAATTGTTCTACTTTATTATATAGATTTATAATTTATATAAAATTAATAATTAATAAAAGTCAGAATCGGAGTTTTTTTAAATTGTTGCACATTGTTAAATAGTGCAGCGACTTCAATTTAATAATCAAAGGGATAAAATTCAATTAAGGTAGTAACTTTTTCCACATGCAACTTGAGTTATTGGTCTTTTCTTTTTCTTCCTCTTGTTTTTTCCACATGAATCCGATATTTTTTTCATAGTGTTATTATTACATCATATATCTTAAATCTAGGTGTCATCCACCGAATTCAAATAANATCAGAATCGAAATTTTTTTAAATTGTTGCACACTCTTAAACAGTGCAGCGACTTCAATTTAATAATCAAAGGGATAAAATTCAATTAAGGTAGTAACTTTTTCCACATGCAACTTTGAGTTATTGGTCTTTTCTTTTTCTTCCTCTTGTTTTTTCCACATGAATCCGATATTTTTTTCATTGTGTTATTATTACATCATATATCTTAAATCTAGGTGTCATCCACCGAATTCAAATAAGTATCGTACTAATACACAATAAGTAATTTAGCATTTAATATCCCAATTCATTTGGGTTCAAATTATTTTCTTATGCAGTTCTTGGCATGGGAACAACCCCCCCCCCTCTCTCTCTCTCTAATAAGAGCTTGTTAAAACAATACAATGGTGACCCAACTAGACAAATTGCAAGTTTGACTGTGTGTAGGCTACTACTACAAAGTCCTGTATTTTTTTTTTTTTTTTATGGTGAGTAAACTTTTTTAAGGTAGGATCACATTAGATCCACTCTTAAATATTCATAATCACTCATTAACAATTGGTATAAGTCAAATTCAAGAGTCATCTTTGAAAATCATATGCAAGATTTCTTAGCTTGTGATGTGATATTGGCTTTTGTATAAAAAAAGATGCATCTTTAGCTTGTGATAAAGACACACAGTTGAGGAAACAAATGCAACACCATCTTGAATAAATGCATGTGTCAAGAGGGATTTATGGGCCATGGTTACAGATTGGTAAGGATCTTCATGCATTATGGTGCACGGGTCTTTGATATGTGGCTACAATGCTGCTCCCATTTAGCTACTGTGAGATTAATGAGATTGAGCAGGTACTCGGAGGGTGCGCAGGCGTTTGCTCAAAATTACTGCCCTCCATGGCAACTTCAATGTCTAGTTCTTGAACATTATGCCTTATGGCGCGACAGATCAAACCATTTAGGTGAGAGAAACTCAATTGAGCACGAAAACGAAGGATCCTTATGTCACAGAGCTTCGCACGGAGATGTCCATGATTAGTACCTTTAGCTATGTGGGTGGTTAAGTACTTAATGGTTTTGGAAGCATTGGAATGTGAGGTGGTTGTTGTGAAGTCCAGATCAGGAAAGGAGTACTGCCAGAGATCTCTCCATCGTTTTGATAAGATGCAAGTTTGTGCAATGGATCTGATGGGAAGAAAGAAGAGAATGTGATGAAGAACAGCGTCTAGAAGATCACTGATCCGGTCTTCGCCTGATCTGTCATCTTCCTTGTTAGCGTTCAGAAGCTTTTTCTTCTTAGCAGATATTGTTTCCATGAATCATTTGGTGTTTCTTGTGTTTCTTCAGCTTTTTTATCACTCTTGAGACTGTATTTATGAGGTAAATAGATTAGGGTTTGAAACTTTCAACAAGTGGGACATGGAATAATACAAGAGAAGAGTGTTCGAGTTTGTTTCGATTCAAAGCTCAAACAAGGATTTAAAAAGATGACCCAAAAAAAGAAAGGAAAATAGATATTAGACAGAAAAAAAAAATGAAAGTTGGATATTAGACCGAAACAAAAATTAAAAGATGACCAACGGAGAGGAGTGTTTAGGCCCTTGTCAGTGTTTGTCAAGTAACAGAGGTGACAAATCTTGGTTTAATTGTAAAGGGTGTCAGTGATATTTAAATATAAATTAAATGGAGTTTTAATAATGTTTTGAATAATAGAGGAAGTATCCTTAAAGATATAATAAACTAGGAGGGGTGTGACTAAAATTTTCCCAAAAATTAAGTATACTATCTAATATACGTATATCATATGTAAGGGCATTTATGTAAAATAGACTCCTTTGTTAACGCCATTAGTGGAAAACTTTTGATGAGAGGTGTCAGTGAAATTTCAGAAGAAGCAGGGGGTGTCATTGACTATATGGATAACTATAGGGGGTGTAAATGAAGTTTACTCAAAATATTATAATGGTCTCTAAATTATATGGTTTTTTTTTTCGCTTTGATACTTTTTCTTTTCATTTTTGTAGTCCTAAATTTTTTCTTATTTGAGTAAAATTAGTTCAATTGAAAGCTATGTTGGCCAACAAATGCAGCCGAATGCATCTTGTGTGATCATACTTGAGTGCTAGTTTTGGTAGCCCCATAAGTGCTTGCCCTCAAAAGTGGATGTATTTTCACGAAGCTCTCAAGCGTAAGAGAAATTATCGTATAGTAAATTGGAATATAATTCCAAAATTGTCTTCTCAAGGAAGTCGGTTGTAGCCAAAGATGATTAAAGAAAATAAAAATATTATTTGAAGTTAAAGAGTATTGTAGTAGCTAACTAAGTAAAAACAAAATTTAATTAAGGAAAAGAACCAGATAATCATCGAATTTTATCCCATCCATGAACATAAATTTATACTCCAAATCTACAAATCATCCAAGTTCGTAATCAAACTCCCCCAGACGAATGGTATACAACAAAACCGTAATTAGCGAAAATAGTGATTTTAATGTCAAATAGATTGATGAAATAATTCATATCCCATTGATTGCAGAGACTATAGTTATTATCCCTCCCAAAATCAATTGCCTACGAATAATACAAGATATGGCCGATCAATTAGGAGATGCATACAATAGCATTTCTTTGTTATTGAGTACACCAATGCATTCACATGTAATATCAAGCTTGAAATTCAATAACCCAAAGCTGTAAGCCAATTAAAAATAACATAAAGAGCTTAGACAAACATACACTATGCATGCAACATCAAATACATCAAACTGGAGAGTTCTCAAAGCAATTCAAGATATACACTCATGGTGCGACTATAATAGTACTGATAGGAACTGAAATGAGAGTTTCACTCACGCCGTGCTCTGTGACATTCTTCCTTACGGCATGTATCTTCTTATCACTTGTCTTCCTCTTCTTTATTTGACCTCTTCCTCTTTAGTCTCTTCCTTTTTGATATCTTCCTCTTCCTCTTTCTCTTCCTTTTTGATCTCCTCCTCCCCTTTCTTCCAATATCCTAGAGTCTTGAAATCACAAGGGAATGACTGCAACGAGTCACAGCGACTGACCTCCAAGAACCTCAGTTCAAACATCGCACTTTGCACCCTTGCCCATTCCATCTGCATTTTTGACAAAACCTTCAAACACAACCCTTCTACTTTCTAAGTGTTATCTTTTCTTGTCCCAAAAGTCAGTGTGTATGTGCTCGAGTACCCTAGAGTCTTCAATACAAAGATATTGCTGCAGTTACGGGAGTGAAGTGGGGTTTATTCATTATTGTGTACTTTCTCCAAATTAATGCCTCAAATACAGCTCTTCAAGACATGTCGAAGGGAAAAGCTAATCAAGCTTTTTTAGGATATCATTGTCGTCACACTCCCTAGCATTGATTGATAACACTCTAAGTTGTTGAAGTTGTGCTAAGGGTGTCACTTCCTCATCCTAAATTATGATTTCTTCTTTTATCTCCATTTGCATCACCAGAAGGCTGGACAGACCCCTAGGCTCACCAAGATGACAACCTTCTACATCTGTCAAACTAGTTATTTTGAAACCATACAGCTCTTGAAGATTGGAAAGTCTTAAAAGTCCCTGGGGCAGGCACTGGAGTAATGGACAATTCCCCATATCCAAAACCGTTAATTTTGGAATACTTGTTATCAATGCAGACAACTTTTTTAGGTTCTTGCATTCACCAAGGATCAAAATATGGAGGCCCCATATCTTTCCAATCGAGTCTGGCAGTTCAACCAATTTTGTAACATTGCGAAGGTTTAAGTAAGCTAGGTGTTTCTGGGAAGTGATCCAATGCCATAGATCCCTTATAGTAATTTTGTCCAGCTTAATATGCGAGAGGTCCAAAACCTGAGAGACTTTACCATGGCCAACCCCTATTTAAGTGAATCGAACAACTCTCCATACATATAATAATGCCCTTATCTTTGAGTTTCCCCGTAGGAGATGGAGATCCATTTCACTTGTGGCACCTAACCGGAGAGTATCAATGGCGGGTATCTGCCTATTTTCTTTGTCAAAACTGTTGAATGCCTCTTCCCTTACAATTTTAATCATCAAATCTCAGACCATGTCATGCATTTTGCAACTATAGATTATTCCATCATAACTCCTTCGTTGAACAACTTCAACCAAGCATCTACTGATCAATTTGGACAGGTAACAATTAACCATATCTCTTGCAGGTTCTATGTTTTCCTCGCGGACAAAACCTTCCCCCACCCACCAGCAAAGAGCGAACCAACTGCTCAGTGTTTATTTTGCGGTCCTCTGGGTATATTGAGAGTCATAGTATACAATGCTTTAAATGTGCAGGAAACTCATCATAGCTTAGCTGCAAAGAATCTATAATAAAACTGTGCGTGCAAGATCCTGCACAATGTAAAAAACGAGAACAGATCTCTCCCTTGGCGAACTCGAGTGAGTCGGTTGAGTGACCAAACACGCTGCTTGGGACAGCCTGCAAGGTACGGTGATAACCTGGAACGGAAATGGGAGACCCTGGGAAAGGAAGAACGGTCCTGTAAGGCTGAAAGAGGTCCCTGGAACAAAGAAGAACAAGTTAGAAGGGCACCGGAGTGTTTTCCGGCGTATCCCCTCCGACGATCTAGTCAGTCTTTGAGAAAGAGAGAGGAAGGAGAAAACACTGAGAATGTATCGTAGTAGAGAGTTAGTTGTTGCATACCCGCTTTGCCTTTTGCAAGGAGTATTTATACCTTAAAAAGCTCATGATTGCTGTCAGTGTGGTCAGCAGGTGATCATTGGGCACAGGTAGCGTGTGTATTGATTCTGATGAAGAATGTCTTCTCTAATTAACTGCTCGGGGTCCTGAGCAATCAATGCTGGGTCGTCGGGATGCCGACGGTACAATGTGCTCCTCTCGGGGAGGATGCAATAAATGCTCTGTAATAGGAGCATTTATTGCCTTTCATTTCCGAGCCTTACCGCATTGAATGCGGTCTCATCAAAGGAATGGTGTAATTAATAGTTTGCTTTCCCAAGTCGCGTGTCAGCAACGGCATGCGGTTTCTCTGTCTTCGATGTGATATCATATGCCACGCGTCCATCCCTCATTGGCTGTGGCCCCTGCATTCCAGTACGTTCTGACACTAATTGTGTAAGACGAGGTCATGATGAATAGCCTAGACTAGCCTAGGCTAATGACCTGTACGTCAATAGCTTATCCTGGAGTAGAGGAAGCGTCCAGGACGGGGTACCTCTCGGCACCGAGGAAAGGCTCATCTCGGAACCGAGGGAGGTATACCGACCGAGGTACCATATCAGACCGAGGTTACGTGTTGGTTGTAACTCGTACTGAAATGCCATGATCCTATATGACGAGTACCTCGGGGGCGAGGACCTTTATGCGCCGATGGTGCTTGATCTTAGCAACAGTGTTTTGGTAAATACCGAGGACACGTGTCTTCATCATGGAGTATTTCAGAAAAGTCCCATCAACTGCCCCCCAGCCTTCGATCTTCTGACACCGAGGACACGCGTTGTAAGGAGACGAAGGGTTTCCCAACTACCACCCGTCCTTCATCATTGCCTCGAGCCGCTTTCCCCGGCTTGGGATGTCGTGTGCATTAAATGCGCCGTTTCGTTTTTCGCGCCCAATGATGAAAATGCCACTATATAAATGGGGTTCCTCTTGCATTTTCTTGTTTCGCCATTCCGAACTTCCTCAAGAGAGCCTTTTCCTGAATCTTCGCCGGAGATCTCTTTCCTCTTCCATCGTCGACTGCCCATTCTTCCTTAAAGTCTTAAGGCCAGCAGACCCATCGTTGCTTCTGAACTTTCTGGAAGGAGTCGCCTAAAGTTTTCCAGAAAAAACTCCGTTTGGCATTCGGGTGAGTCCTAGTTTCTTTCTTCTTTTCTTCCTCCTATCCCTTTTTGTTTTCCGATGACTGGAGGTGTCTCCGGTTGATACTTAGCGACTAATCCTCGGGAAGCTTCCTCAGGGATTTTTAAGAAAAAACACCCTCCACTTTCTCACTTTCTTAGAGATGCCTCGTCGTCGCCCTGCTCCCGAGAATCCTCAGGCTGGTTCTTCGGGGTCGGGGAAGTATAAAGTAAAGGGTGGTGAGCAGATTGATAGGTTTAAGGTCAAGTACGGCATTCCCCCGTGCGTAGACATAGAGGATTATGACTCGGTGGTGCACTTTCCTACCCTCGGGGCCGAGGATGCTATGCCCTTTTATACCAAGGCCATAATAGAGGGGGGAATTAGGTTTCCTTTACCCCCTTTACTTCTCCAGTTCCTCTCTCACTTCCGCCTCTTCCCCGGGCAGTGTTGCCTTAATGTCTTCAGAATAATTATGGGGGTCTTAGAGCTCAATAGGCGCCTCGGGGTAAATATTGGGCTGAACGATCTCCTTTTTTGTTATTCCCTCTTGAGAGTCATGCCTCACCAACACTTCTACCTCAAAGCCAGGGACCCCTCCATGTACCTTGTAACTCATCTTCCCGACTCGGACAAGGGGTACAAGGACGATATTCTTATTTTCAAGGGATCTTGGCAGAGAGGTGTTGATCCCGAGTATAATGACTTGTTATGCCCTCTGGAATAGAGAACGACAAGTATGTCGGTTCCTTCGGGTTTATTATTTCTTTCTCCAGACTTCCCATACTCATGACTATTTTGTGTGTGCAGATATTCCTGCTCGGGAAACAGCTCCTCCCCCTCGGTCGCTGGTGAACTTTGCCGACCTAATCACGGTTTGGAGATTCATGGGTGACAACGGGTTTGGCCGTGCTGCTCACATCCTGCTGAATTATACCCCCGGATATAAGAAATTTTCACAGCTTCCGTAGCCTTTTGAGCCTTCGCAGTGGTCTGAACTCTTCGATCAGGCGGCGAGGCTAGAGGTTGAGGAAAACTTGGAGGAAGACCCGGATCGGGCTTC